ACTGTAGCTGTGTATTGAGGTTAGCTTTTATCATGTCACATGTCAGATCTGATATCAGTGAATTTTTTTCTTGATACCAGGTTTTTTTTAATGACAAAAACATTACCAACACCTTTTTTTTACTAACTGGTATTATAATGCCTACCTTAGAGCGGTAAAAATGACATTTGCGGGGCGTCGGTGGCTTAGTGGATAGAGCAGGCATCCCATATAAAAGGCTGTTGCCACAGCGGCCCAGGTTCAACTCCAGCCTGTGGCCCTTTGCTGCATGTCACTCCCTCTCTTTCACACTTAACTGTCCTGTCGATTAAAGGCAAAATGGCCACAAAAATATCTAAAAAACAAAAAAAAAAAGACATCTGCTCTTGGATACTTGGATCCTGAAAAAAACAGTTTTATATTTATTGTTATTTCTAAATTAATTATCATTATGCAGGCTTACTCTGTGCCTTAAAACACTGCTCCTCCAATGAAATACTGTAGAAAAAAACTGGCCCGTGGCTGAACTTAATTGCTGACCCCTGCTGTACCCTGCTGCCGCTGTTTCCACCTGCAGTTAAACAGATCAAAGTCATGCAACTCAAGAAGGAAAACAGAAGGAAAGAGAAATGAAATGTGTAGCCAATTAGACATTTTAAACTAGAGGAAGGAAATCTACCCTCCCTTTTTACTAAAGAGGAAGTGGGATGAGATCATAATGAAGTGCAGTAAAGGCAAATGGCGTTTAGAGGGAAAACTGCTGAATGGATATAAAGCTTTTCAAGAAATGACATTACTGCTCTCATATGCAGACAGTCACAAAACGTGGCCCAAACGTCTCCAGAGGATATGGAGTGTGTTCTGGTGCTACGTGGCAGGAAGAGGGTGGTAGCAAGGAGGGGGGGGGACGACAGAGGCAAGGAATGGGGTTGCACCCCTTCAGCGTTTCCTCAATGACTTCCAGAGGCCAACCTTCCAAATCACTGAAACCAAAACAACTCTGACACCAGGCAGGGCCATTAGGAAAACCTGCTTACACACTGTAATGCAGACATAATCTCATGTGTTCACTAATGACTAGGTTCCTCACTGTGCGCAGCCTTAGGATGTTGAATTTCCAAAAGAAATGTAATGATGGAAAGTCTGGAGGCTTTGTGAAATCATGGGAAGGATATACTCCAAGGCCAGAGGTGCATGCTTATTTTTAAGGCCTGTAGGAAGTGAGATTAAATACAAAGTGATATCTATGACTTGACAAACCACTACCATCATGTCTTTTTTCTTCAGGTTAAAAGCAGATCCATACTTTCTCTGCCCTCCAGGCCAAGTAGTTAAAAATTAAGTAGACATGGGCATGTCCTGGCTCATTTCTATTGCACTGTGAATGTGAAATATGGCAGGCCCAGCTCACCACGTTGAGCTTGTGAGGCTGGTGAAAATCACGTCCTACAACAGCAAGTATTTACTCAACCACCATTACATCAGCAATGAGCTATTCAATAAATCTGCAGCTGTGGAGGAAGCATCTAGTTAAAATGAAGTCTCTGTAGAAATTGTTGTTCATTATCAGCTTTGACAGGGATATATTTGTTATCATGGAGATAGCAGGCAGCTTCCTGAAACCGCATTCCAAATGGGTTAAGTGTCCAAAATGTCAAAGAACCTCTGACAAAAAAGAATGGAAACAGAATCACCTCATGACACAGTGGTGGATGGTGATTCAGTGTCTCCAAGAAACCACTTTGAAGTGTTGGAAGTACCTAAATGACCCTCAAGCTTAGTTTAAACATACACTGTTTAAGACAAGGGGTCACTGACCCCAATTTTACAAGATAGTGAACTCAACCCTAACGCAACAAATAAAGGACAACAAGACGATGATGGAGTTTCTCAGTTTCAGTTTCAGGGAAATGCTTAAAAAGAAAACCTATTCTTGAAAGGCATCACAAGGACCTATGTTGTAATTACTCTAAAATTAAAGAGCTGTGTCTGGATGTAACAGCATGGACAAGTCTCTCCCAGAGCTACAAAGACAGATCAAAGACACAGTGACAATAGCCAGACTGATGTCTTACTCTGTGGCAACAATTAGTGCAATTACAATATAAACAATGAAATGTAAAAGTTCAACTAAACTCTACCACATCGGTCTACAGAGTCCACCTAATTAAACAGGGCCACTGATGGTTTACTATCTTTCTTGTACATCCTATTTATCCCTATAAGATATAAATTATTTCCAAAACACAAGACATGGTGAGGATCTACTGGCATCCCTGCTGGATGTTTCACATTCAAATTATGAGTTAGGCATGTTGATGGTTAATCATAAATTTGTTAATAGCGGAGAATAGTTTTGACCGGTTATGCATGTCAGTCTACAGACCTTGTAATTGCATTGCTAGGCAACAGCTTTGGTCTATGTTTACTTCCTGTCAACTGGTGTCATCCACATACACTGCAAAGCATTCCAACAGGAAATACAAAGGGAAACATTCAGATTGTTTATATGGTCAAGTCTGAAACAGTCTATAGGTTAATTTTGCTGCTCTTTAGTTTACCGCACTGTGCACCACCTGGGTCTGGTGGAAGATATCTAGTAGAGGTGCAACAATCCATCATTCTGGATCAATATTTTGAAATTGTGTGTCACCATCAAACAGCAGCTAGCAGATGGCAAGCAGCCAGGAGAAAGACAATGAGGATTAAGTTATGTAGTCACGAAAAAAACCCAGCAATGTCCAAATATTTTTGATTTTGGAGAAAATAAGGTTCAACGGACAAAGCAAATGCTGCATGTAAACAATGCCGTTAAGAGATAAAACAAGACGCTCCACTGACTTCTCACTACAGCAACATTAGCTGCTCTGTTTCTAAAATATTTGGCTGAAAAAACTTGCATGCAGGCTGAAATTCAAACATGCTGTTCTGTTGGGAAGTGAAGTGACTTAAACCAATTGTGAGTAAGAAAATAACAATGTTATATATAATTTGTTAACTTGTGAGTAGAGGAAAAAATGTCAGCTAGCCGCTGGGCTAATTTATACAATGTAAACATGCATTTATAAGCTAATAATGGGTGACTAGCAAAAAACAACTGTTTTGTCTATGAACCTTGACACTTAGTACTGAGCTGAATTTGATACTTTTGTTAAATAATCTTGTTGTTAATCCATGTTTTATTGCTATTTGGAGAAGTCTGCCAGTAGGGCGTTGAGCCAGATAACCCTGACGTTTCATGAAAAAGATGATGGTTTTCATTAAAAAAAAAAAAAAAACTACTAGAAAGGACTTTCTGACAGAAAGCCCTGAACTAACTGTGTTAGTTCAATTTAAAGTAAACGTTACTGCACTCATTATTTATATGTGTTTTTTTTTTTACCTTTTATGGCCAAAAGTAAAAAAGAAAGGGGTGGCAGCTTCTTTTTTTAACAGATTGTGTTATCTCTTATCAATCACAGGCCCCTGAATCACATAAAATCGAAATCATATTGTGGCAGACTTTGTAATATTGGCAAATATCGTATTGTTGTCCAAATAATCAATATAATATTGTATCATGATGAAACTGGTGATTTAGATCGCTACGAGTTAGCACCATTGCTTATTCAGCGATCACCACTAGTAACACTGTCTCATCCTAACGGCGTTGCTATGGAAACATTATGCCACCCCTGAGTTGACCCCCTTTAGCACTAGTAACTATGCTATCACTATGAGCTCTGTTAGCATCGTTTGCAGAGTGAGGACGGCTAGTGATGCTAACAAAGTTCAGGGTTTCCCACAGATTAATTTATCTGTGGCAGCATGCCAAAATAACAACAACTGCTGCCTTGTACTTATTTTCTATTTTTGGAACTAGACCATTCATTAGGAGTACTACTGGAATATATTTACCATTTAGTTATTCATTGCACCACACTCTCGGAGCGCCTTGGATGTAATCTGTGCACAGACAGAGCAATAGTCACCAGAACTCCCTGAAGGTAAAAGCAGAGGGTGGCCACCATGTTTCCAGCAGTTATCTTCAAACGAGCGGCACTGCTAGTTAGCTCCCACCTGACCTGGGTAGAGCGCAGTGAGGAGCAGCCAAGGCTAATGGCGGATTTCCACTGGATGCGTGTCCGTTGCGGAACGGCAGCGCTGGTTATCCGCTGCGTGCTCCGCCGTCCGTGAATACCCACCAGCTGTGTTTGCTGTACGGAACAGTGCAGCTCCGCTGGAAGACATCTCGGTGCACTGCCATGATTAATATCTCCTCGTCCATGGTGTTCACGGGGTGAAAGGACGTCTGAAAACCTCTGATCTGTTGACTTCAGGCCTGCCTCTGCCCATTATGTAGTTTTCATGGTGTAGTGCAGGGAAGTATGATCCGCCGTGAACACTGTGTATTTTATTTTGAAAATTAACCGGATGTTTAATTTTGTTTCTGTGCACGACTTCCTGTCCCACACGATCTGCTCTGTGCTGAATTGCTGCCTTGTGCTCCGGCGACTGGCAAAAATAGAAGTCCTGCGCATCTGTTGCGGAGGGCTCCAGAGTGCCGGAGCTGAGACGGAGCCGGAACGCAGCACAGCCGCAGCCGGTGGAAACACACATTGACTAGAACTGAATCCTATCGGCTCCGCTGCCGTGCCAGAGCGGAGGTGCAACCAACACACATCTGGTGGGAATAGGCCATAACATAAGCTAGCCAGTGGAGACCAGAGGGTGGGCAGTGGGCACTATATTTCCATATGTTATTAGGGCTAGATTGCAGTTTGTCAACAGAAAATAAAATAAGAGGCAAGACATCACAAAACATTCAAATCTTACCACTAGTAAATGAACAGCGCTTTGAAATGCAGTGCTTAAGCTGATTTAAATTAACCAATTAGTTACCAGGTAATAGGTGTTGAGCTATCAATAGAAAATTAACTGAAACTGACATCCCTAGTATCAGTGCAGAACAAAGGGTCAGGACTGGGGGTTTGGGCTAGGCAAAGAAAAAAGGAAATGCAGGAGGTGTCAGCATTACTCACTTGGAAAGAGACACTCCCCCAGCTTTCCCAATGAGCTCCTCATGGTGGAGGACGGCATCATTCCAAGGAACGTCAAGGAACTTCAGCAGTGTCTTCATCCACTTTTCAGGATGAAGGACCAACTGTTCGTAGTGCACAGGTAGGCATTTATCCGCTGCCTCCAGGCACTGAGTGTACATGGTCTCTATGGCCCGATTCCACTTGGTCAGGCAGTCCCGGTAGCTGCCCAGGTCAAAGCCGGCAATGGTTACCTTCCGTGAGATCATGGAGTGGACTGAAGCCCGGCCATCACGAATCATGAGTACAAACTTGGCACGGGGAAAGATCTTGGCCAGGTAGGAAAGCGACTTCAAAGCAAAAGGGTCCTTGTTGCAGAGAAAGTTGGCAGGTTCTCCATGTTTGACAATAATTTCCAGCAGGAAGGCCTGCATGGCGGCGTCCAGCACCTCATCTGTCACACCAGCCTCATCCAGGCGCATCTTCTCTCGCCCCGAGCGGCTCCACATCTGCTTCATGGCCAAGATACGAGGGATGACGCGGGTTTCCTCACCACAGCGCACCTCAGGGTGGGCATCCAGCATGGCTCTCATTAGCGTGGTCCCACTACGGGGCACTCCACCGATGAAGATGAGTGGCATGTCTTTGTTGTAAACAAATGGTGTGCTGAGGTTCTGGCCTGTCCGTAGGGTGGTCCTCATGCTGCCTCCTAGCGCTGATAGAGGCAGGATCCCGCCTGGCTGGCTTCGCTCTTCAATGCGATGGTGGCACTCCATAGCATGGCGGCCCAGGTAGAAGACCGTGACTGAGCTGATGACCAGACAGGCCACCAGCAAGTTCTGTTTCAGCTTGCCAATCATGTTGCACGCCACAGACGGGAGAGGACAATATCACCACAGGGGCAATTTAGGGGGAGGGACGGGAAAAAGGAACTGAAGGGTAATCAAGGTCCCCACCCTTTATGGTTGTCTGCTGGGAACCGGGCATGGATCAAGCTCCCTTGTGCACAGCAGGCGTCGAGTCCCCAGCTCCATGAGGCCTGGATTGTGGCACAAAACAGAAAAGACAGTTAGTTCTGATTATACACCAGGACAACATTCATCAAGCAATCTTACCAACAAAACCTAATCAAAAGAACCACTTCATGTCCCAGATTAAAGAATAAATCATGTGACAGATGTCAGGCACCAAGACACTCCACTGTCATTATTGCATGCACATCAAATGAATCTGAGAACAAATTTACAGAGGAGAAATTTGTCAAGCAAAGTGATCACCACATTCTCTTTATTTGACAGGCCTTTTGAACTCAGGCCAACATTACTGTGCAATTTCACTTTGCAGAGAGCCTTGAATTACTAAGTTGACACAGAACTGCTTCAAACACAATTATGACAATGGAGTTTACCACCAGAAAAACTAATGAACCCTGTCTCCCAGATGTTTTATGGAGAGTTATTTGAAAGATTATGATGCCCACTGAAAGATCAACGACTAAGACTCTGTTGACAAGAGACCAAGAATGTAGAAGAACAAATCTGTGCATTTAACCAAAAATAGCTTTTTCGTTTTTACCCTGCTAGACATCGCTCAGGCTTTGATTCTCAGGTAGTGCATACATCATCTGTGACATTTAGCCATCAGCATCTAAGTTTAACACAGGGATGCACACAAACTCACTCTGCAGATAGGGTGATGTGTACTTGCACACAACAAGAACACACACACAGACATTTCCCGCACATAAATTCTACACACCGCAGTGGGCTGGCTGACAGCTTTTCCTCTGCTGTTGTTAAGTAAAAGCTGCAGGCTTACTACAGCTTATTTGTTAAAGGGTTTTCTCTGTGCTGGCCCTGCAGCCACAGTCACTCTCCTGAACAAACGACCTGGCTAGGAGAGGAGGAGGGCGAAGGCATGCCACAACAGGTCAGTGCACAGGAGTGCTTCGCTTACAAATGACATTCAGTCGGTTGTAAGTTTGTTTTTAGGTTAACCTGACCTGAATGAAAAATGTTGGGAAAAATGGTGGATGGTAAGTAATCTACCATCTTATTACCTCTGGCCTTTAGCCATGAGACATCCAATTAAAATATTTTAGCTGAAACACACCTAGGACGCCAAAGCACATGGCTAAGCAATCAGAGTCAATATGCTAACATGCATCTCAGTAGCTGGGTGCCAGTGGGCCTTCTGCACCACGTAGAAACCTAATTTCTGTATTAAGGGTAAAAAAATAAAGAAACCTGATTTCCCAAGCTACAGTTTCTCTGGAATGTCTGCAAAAAACAACTTCTTTTTTTTTCAGCATCTGTATAAATAGGGTTTCAAAGGAGCTCCGAGACAACAAGGACCGGAAAGGAGAGATAGTTACAAGCAGGGATGCATCCTCATATTCAGAGGTTTAAAAAAGTTAATTTCCACTGCTGAACAACTGATTAATTAAAAAGAAAAGCTACATGCTGTATTACTACACAGACAAAGAATAAACAGACATGCTAGCAGCTCTGAGAAGCTGTACTTAGGCATTGTGGTATTTTGAGCTAAATGCTAGTGTCGGTATGCAAACGTGGTCACAATCTCAAAACCCATTGGCTATCTGTGAGAGTACAATGAGCTTCTGAATGTAACAGCCAGTAGTGCAGGAGTTATGGTGTCGCCAGCGGATATCCGGCCCAAGACTTCTTCCATGCACGGGTCAATTCCACTTAAGAATACAAATAAATTTAAAAGAGGCTACTATGAAGCTAAAACATCATCAAACAATAGCTGATGGGCTTCAAGACTACATTTCAGCCAATGCATTCCACCTCCCCATGCACCGTTTACGTGCGCCCCCTGACAGCAGGCTTGGACCCCCCTGTGCCCCCCCCTCAGAAAGAAGAGACTACGGAATTAATAAATAGATTTTTTGCGATAATTTGACCCTGACGAGAGATGCGGAACCAAAGTTTGGCTCAATTTTCCAGTTGGATGCAATAGAGCAATACACCGCTGGTGGCGGGCTTAAGTGTAGAAAGCGGACTCTGAACCACCTGCACGGAGCGAAGGAAAATGTAGCCAAACTACTGAGGAGAATTAAAGGTAAGTAACTTTTTTGTAATTTGTGTAACAGTGACAGGGTAAGATGTTTGGCTAGGAAATGTTCCTACCGAGTAAACTAAGTAGTAAACAAATTGCAGCCACCATACAACAATTTGCTTGAATTAAGAAGTGTTAGAAGTTTTATGATAGCGTATGGAAGTAAATTTCTCAATTCAGTAGGGGCTAGCCTGAGTAGATGTTATACTATAAAATCATCTATATCAGTTTTACTTTGCAGTTTTAAATAGTAAGCACAGATGATAACAAAACACATTCATTCAAGCAAACCAGCAACAGTGTATTTATGTAATGGGATGCTAAAGTGTTGCGGCGTAGTGCCGCAGAAGTTGACTGTCCACACAGGCAGCGCATTTCTCCTGCGCTCTCCGCGCCGGTTAAACATCGACTCCACTCATCTGTTCCCGTGAGTACTCGTTTTTTCACTTCAACAGGTCATTTTAAACATGTGTAAGTCCATATTTTAATCGTTTTTTATAACGTAATAAGTTAATTACAATTTGTCATTGCATATCCATGTATTGAGCGTGTTGGATAAACACTGGGCATATTGTTATTGACCATTTTATTTATGTAGTTATGTCTGTAGGCTCAGTGACACAAAATTAAAATTGTAATGAAGTGATTAGGGTATTGAAAAATGTGTTTGGTTATGCACTGTTGTGTTATTTTAAATTATAAACACGGTATTTTACTGCTCGCGTGAAAAACAGACCAGACGCCGAACTGAAACGCTGCCTCCGCGGGCACTCTGCTCTGCTCAGCGGCCTGTGTGGACAGTCAGATAGCTTCAGTTCCGCGTCCGGTGTGTCCAGAATGGCACGGGTGTGTGGATGTCTGTTCATCTTTTCGTTCATGACCTTATTAATGCGCACTTTATAACTTGCTTGTTGGATTTATTAAACGAACGAATGAAAACTAAATATCTTTGAATATCTTAAAAGGAAAATTAAAATGACCGGTAAAAATAGATTATGACCGGATTTTTATGACCCTCTCTGAAATTGATCTAGAACTGACACTGGTGTTGTGGTCAAAGACAGCCTGGGATAAAATTCTGACAGTGGAATTTTAGATATTGGCTTCTCAAACGGATTTCACCAAAAATCTTAGAACACCACTAGGCATGGCCTGGAGCCATTCTTTGTGAGGTTTGTGAGACCCCCACATGTTCCTGTCAGTTTCAGATGCTCCAGTTCCTAACTGAGATGTACTGGATGCATGTTTAGTTGGAGCACTCAAGCCATTGCACACAAGTCCACAGTTATAAAAACACCCTGAATCACTTGTATGCGTATCAATACTTGTGTCCACTCCACCATTCATTAGACCTGTCAAGAACTGCAAAGAAGAAGTGCAGTTTTGCAGATTGTGTTGCAACCAGAACAAATGTCACTGAGCATGGCTGATACACACTCCTGGCACACACTGGTTTTTTATAGCGCCTGTTTATACATCTGGCCCCTGAGGCAGCTGTCCACTGCTCCTAAACAGGATGGGTCAAATTCACAGCATATATCCCCCCCCCCCAAAAGTCTAATAAAGAAAAGCTTTGCTTATATGGTCTACAATTAAATGTTTTAGCCTCGCAATCCAGTTACCTTATTAACTTGCTGTCTGTTTACACACGTTCCACGTCATCATAAGCATGATGGTTAACAGGCTCTGTCAGCATTGTTCTGCAGCAGCGCCACGGCAGGGACTCTGGCATCACTATGTGACAGGCTGCTGCTCATCAGAGCAGAGCAATGAACCCAGCGCAGCCAACTCCCCCTTCATGGTATTTAAGGGGCTGTTTGGATGCATATTCGTCTGGGCAGAGCACAACAGAATGACGCAAGACACTGTCATCGTCTTTGTTCTAACTCATGAAGTTTTAATTAAGGACTTTGTTCCTTTCCAGAAAATACATAACTGCTGAATACCATTTTATGTCCTGGTAGTATATGAAAGTCTGAGGATACGTGAAGATCCAAAGGTCCTAAAATACAGCTATGTTTAGAAATGTTTTTTGGAGTAGTCTACATGTTTGGCAGAAAATGTCGACTGCTGACGAAGGCACAAATCAACAATTTCCATCTGTGCCCAACCCTGACAAAACCACATACTGGCTTAAACTCTACACTTGAAGACAGGAGTAGAAATGAATAAGACATTGCTGACTCACCCTCAAAATATGTGAGGACTGCAAGTTTGAATGATACCACAGACAAAAAGGGACTATCTAAATGTCAAAAAGCTATTACATCCATCACTATCTTTATCATGGTAAGCCAATGTGCGAATTCAATTATCTAAATCCTAGTCATGAGGTTACTCCCTCCCCAACAAAAATATATGCTTGGATAATCACTGAGATCTTTAGAGATTTCTGGCAAAAACTTTTCACTGTTGGCAGTGTTCCCAAAATACTAGTTGACCTGTGGAATCTGTAGAGCCTTTTCTTTGAAAAGAGACTATTTATATAGCGTATATTCCTGCGTATATTCAATACGAGGTATTGAATCTCAGGGACAACCAGAATAATATGGGGATTCTTGTTGTCATTTTTCCTGACTGCTATATCTTAGCAGAAGTCCTGAGAGCATACATTAAGCCTGATGACTCAAGCCTAATGAAATTTTCTCCCAAAGTAGATCACTATCTGCGCATGCTGATAGGCTTAGCCAGATTTATGAAGCTACAGGTTACACTGTAGTGTTTCTACTTTCTCAGCCAATAAATAATTACATTTTTGAGCTTTAGCTATGTTCACGACAGGGCTTAAAGCTTAATTACGATTTTCCCAGATCCGATCTTTCTGCCTAGATTGTTCACATTCATGTTTAAAGTGACCCATATCTGACATCAGTGTGACCAAATCTCTGCATTTTAATTAGTCACGTGCTTCTGTTTGAGAGAGTGTGTAGCATATTTTCAGGGAAATGGCCCTTTGGA